GGGTAAAGGGTGTAAATGGGATGTTGGTTTAGGTGTGTTTGACTTGGACGACAATCTTAGCCCTGGGGTCGCCTCTGCTATAACTCACTGTGCAAATTCGTATCAACTAACATACAGGAACTTGTTTACTTTCACTCGACGCGAGCTCTCTCCTTGCAAAAAAAGAAAAAATATCTGCACCTTGAAAGTTGTGTAACTCTAGTGTAGGTGTATTTGTATTTTTCTGGTTGTGTGAGAGTTGTGAAGGTTGTTGACTAGCGTGCAATTGCTCTGGAATGATCAAGAGGTTATGGTGATGCAGTGTGGGAGCGGTTGCGTCAATAGATACATCTGTATGGAGCGTTAGCTATACCTGATAGGGATCTGCATATCAAAGAGATACGCAACAATGATTCCAGTCAGGTGCTCCCAGAGGAGACCACCTACACTAGCTAAAGTTTGTCATGGACTGGCCAGCAGCCGAGGAAATTAAACAGCGTTACCATGGATTCTGAGAGGAAACCAGTGCCACCACCTTCATTCAGTCAAGTGGTAAAGCAAAGGAAGTAGATAATGTTTATGTCAAAGATGATGCTAATCTGCACCAGAAACGTGTAGTTGATAAAATATAAAGGATATGAATTATCGTAATTAGAAAAGTGAATGATCAGTATAAAATAAAACTGAGTGAAAGTATTTGGGGCAGTTATCACATATGACCCAGAAATTTCGCTCCTAAAATCAAGAACAAAAAGATAAAATAAATATTGACATTGGAATTGTCAACTTGACACAAAATTCATCTCGGGAGGAATGTAACATTTATTTTTAAGTTACATGTAATAGATAATTCGAGCTATGTTACATATTACTCAAACACAAGATGCAAATTAAAATATTAATTTCTAAGGGAATTACCTGCATGGCAAAATGGAGAGTGTGTATGTGCGTTACACGTCCGGCAGCGACACCTGGCACTATAACCTGTACGACAATTGGGCCTGGCTATCATTGTTGATACAGCGGGACAATGGACGAGCAGTAGGAGCTGTCTAATTGGCCAGGCCTGAAGTACTGCCAATTCATATCTTGTGGAATGGGAGAATAGCCAGAGCAGTAAAGCTATTTGGATAAGTCTTGTTCCACTGAATTCTGATGTTACTCTACGAATCAATTTATTAATACTGCGAGATAATAATCTTAGAATATTGCCAATTAGTTAATATACCTAAAGACATATATACAAGTGTTTACTATTATTAAATTACTAAACTTAAAGATAAAATATTCTTTAGAATTTAACATCAAATTGAGGTTATTCCACCTTTATGTGTAGTTGCGTGTTAGTGTCTGTAAACACAAACGAACTCACAAAACGCCTGGCATTACATAACAATATTTGGCACTGGGTATAGGTCGCAAGCTCTCAGGGTGTCACTCTTCCGTAACACACTGTGACAAATAAAACCCGCCCACTTGGATGTCACACCCATGCTGTGTCTCTTGGGTGTAGTAAAGTGTGACGCCCGACCAGTCTCTTTCTCATATTCTTCTCTTGACGTCTGGTAGATCTAAGGTCTGTCTACCTTGCTCGGTCAGTTTGGCACTCGTCCCGGTATCTGTACACTTCATGTTCCTCTCATCTCTAAGGTTTCTTTCACATACGGGAGTCATCCTGGAGGTCGCTTGCCAACCATTACGCGGAGGTTGATCCAAGTAGACGCGGGCACTGTCACTTCTACTTAGGGTAAACAAACAGAAGAAAGACAGACAAAGAGAGTGAGAGAAAGAAAGAGACATTAGTAGAGAACAAGAGACAGAGAGAGAAAATTACAGACAGATAGACAGACAGGCAAGCAGACAGACAAAAAGACAGAGAGAGGAGAGAGAGAGACTCTTCTTAACTGCTACAAAAAGACACACAGCCTCGCTACCTCACCACAATAGATAGGGGCAAGGCTGTGGTAGACAACAGGGCATGACCAGTCTCCACCACCCTTGTTGACATAGCCTGCTACACCAACTGTCCACTAAAAGCTGACATGGTTCATCAACAAGCTGGAGGTGTCTCTAAGCTCGTGATAAATCTAAAGTTGACTGCTCCAATGGGCTCCAGTCTAAATGGAGCCCCAGCCTATCCTATGGTAACTATTATGATTAATGCGTAGTTCTAATGAGTCCTCAGTCTGCAACCTAACTTTTAGAATTGAATCCCAATCCTAAAATGATCCAATTGTAATGGATCCGAATTCTACTGAGCCCCAATCGCAACTATTATTCTAAATGATTTTAGTCTAGAACCCATTAAATATAGAGAGGCCAAAATTTGGTTGGGTGTACAAGTGTTCGTTCAGCCGGGAACAACAGCCACCCAACTCGAAGCGAAAAGAACTCGTTACTTCAACATGAACAAATTTACCCTGACATTCAATATTAATTACGGCCAGACCTAATCAATCATTAACTCAAATCTGACACATTTTGTTGGCAAAAAACGCGCTTGGATTAGTTTACTCGTGGGAAAGTTTTCTTTTATGACATTATATAGAAATACCACGAAAGGGAATAAATAATTATGCTTTGTTTATATATAATATTAAGCAGACAATATTTTCAAAATTTGGAGGAAATAACGTCAAAAAGTTAAAGAATGACAGATAGCGGGTAAATTCAATCCACATTATTCAAAACTACTTGAAGGAGAAAACACATTAGAGGTATCTTCGTATTAAAAACAGGTCAAGGGTTTTATTACTCGATTTTAAAATTAAAGGAGTTTGATTTGTGTATCAGTTAACCATTAATTATCGTTCGTGTTGTATTTCACCTCTTTTTATATTATTCGACTTAAGAAATATTTAAAAAGATACACATCCACACGCTTATCTTTCTTTGTCTCGTTTACACACACACACACACTTCGCACGCACGTTATTGATCTAACCTGATGCAATGTGAGGGACACCCATTGTAAACGAATATACACAAGCTCTTCTCTCAGTTTCTGTAAATTCAGTTGCCTCTAAAGAAGTAGTGAATAAAGACAAAGGCTAAGATGCTCCACTCATATGTTATACGTGCCTTGTATGTCATAACCACAGTACTATGAAGGTATATTTACACACTATGAAAACAGCAAATAAAATGTTCATGTGTGGCCAGGTCTGCTAGCACAGTTCCCCGGTATCATACAGTAACTCCTCTCAACAGAAAGGTTCAAATTGGCTCCGCTCTTTAAAGTCTCTGCGAACCACAATTTTGGTGGACCAAACTTATAGAGGAAAACGTGAGGGAAGTGAAGATAATTGTCATTAAAGCTCATAGTCAGATGATTTAACGTGCTAAATATATTCCGTCTTTTATAAAACGAACTTGATTATCTTGATAGCAATTTCTTACCTGTTATATTATATAATTTTAATTACAAATGCCACATAATTTCCCTCTTAAAATAATGAATTAATTTATCATCAAGTTATGAACAAGAGAAGGATTTTAGAGATGCCTCATACAATATGGCGATATATTCATTGTAAAACTGGGTTTTTTAATGGTATATTACAAAAAAAAAATAAATAGATCAGTATTTTCAATCTAGCTGTCCATCAGTGAGCACTAATTATGACATGGGTAAACATCTTTTAATTATAACAGAAGTTAATCAATCGTCCATAGCCACAATTAATTGACTTTAACTTATAGATTAAATATTAAATCGTCTGCTCTTCTCTTGGAACGATGTGTTTCCTTCTCCCAGTGGACAGCGCCCTGGGAATCAATCACGGTTTCAGGAGATGTGTTGAAAGACCAAGAGGAAGGTTAGAATTACATGTGGACATCAGGCTCCATCTAACACCTGGTTAAGTCTAAAAGTCTGACTACTGCAGCACATACAACATTATGTAGCGGGACAAACCATTTAGCGCACACCTGCTTGACGGAAAGTACTCAGAGAAAACAGGGGGTACTCAGGGACAACAGGGGGTACTCAGAGACAACAGGGGATACTCAGAGACAGCAGGGGGTACTCAGGGACAACAGGGGTACTCAGGGACAACAGGAGGTACTCCAGAACAACAGGGGATACTCGAGAGACAGCAGGGGGTGCTCAGGGACAACCAGGGGTGCTCAGGGACAACAGGAGGTACTCAAGACAACAGGGATACTCAGAAAACAGGAGAATTTTCGAGACAACAGGGATACTCCAGAGACAGCAGGGGGGGTACTCAGGGACAACAGGGGGTGCTCAGGACAACAGGGGATACTCAGAGAAAACAGGGGGTACTCAGAGACAACAGGGGGTACTCGAGGACACTTGGGGGGTGCTAAGGGACAACAGGGGGGTACTCAGAGACAACAGGGGGTACTCGGAACAACAAAGCACTCAGGAGGACAACAGAAAGCACTCCAGGGACAACAGAAGATACGCAAGAAACAACAGGAGGTACTCAGGGACATCGAGGGTACTTATAGACAACAGGAGGTACTCAGAAACACCAGGAAATACTAAGAGTCAACACGAGACAAGTGTACAAATCATCCCTCAGAGGAAGCCAACGCGTAAGGATATATACACTGTCTTCCCATCTCTCTTTCCATCGCCGTCATGTTTCCACCCCCCACCCCCTCCCCCCAATTCCTTCACCAGTCATCCATAAACTAATGTCATTACGTATCTCTCTAACCCTCTACCATCTATATACTGTTCCTCCTTTACTCATAATTTTCCGAATGTTAACTGTCAAGTTGCTTCATACTTGTTCCTCTGTGACCACCTCTCTCTCCTTTTCCCTCTTAGAACAAAATATTCAGAAAGATGTCCCAGTGATGTGGTCGATTTGTATGGAGTCTATTTACTTCTATTACATATTTTTAGTGACCATCAACGTTTTTTCTTTTTTTTTAATAAATTCCCAGAAGTGTATTTCGTGAACGTCTTGTGTCAGTGTCAGGCGTGTTTTCCTGTTATTAGTAGTCATGAGCAGGGACGGGAAGAAACCGGGAGGTAGGCAGGTCGACCCCTGACACACCCGCCAGACGCTACTTGGGTCTCTTATAACACGTTCTCTCCAGCCCTTTGTACCAGTAGTGCCCACGTCAACACTACCTGCAGGTAAGTAGAACTATACAGTACAGTACTTCACCTTTCAACTCTCTTATTTACAATTAGTGTAATTATTTCCGTTATGTCAGCCGGATGAAATTCCAAGAACAGAATTAACACCCGGCTGCTTTGGGGTCTTATACAGTATCTAAATGAATACTGATTTTAATCATTTATTAGATAGATAGATAGTTATTATGAACAACAGTGAAATGCCTAAAACTCTTCGTGTTTTCTTTCTTGTTTGTAACTATTACATATGTACATGGATCACGTGCACCCACAGTGATTTATTTGTATATTTATGCAAAATACTTCGATCAGATGTCAGAAAAGAAATATAAAATAGCAAAGTACCGTCCCTCAAGACACAGTGTATCCTGATCTACGTGTTCACAGTAATTTACCTCATCCTTTTCCTTCAGGTCAAAAGAAATAAGTACAGTGATAAGAGAGACGCTTCACTTAGGGAGTCTCATCCTCGCACACATCATGGAAGCCTAAACACAGGGCTGTAGACGCCAAGATGTTTCCATGGTAACATAACCCAGGCCAGGGTCCGGGTTCTCGGGTCTCTGTGATTTTTTCTTTATCTTCTTTTTCTTCACTTAAATTGGATTACGAGATAAGACACAGTGAAGGTACAGTATTATCTTAGTGAAAATTTGCCGCTGCCTTGATCTTAAGTTTTGTGTGTTAAGATACTTCTTGTACCAAAAGTTAGAAAACAACATAGAGCACAAGCTTCAGAAAATCTTGATCCATCCAGTACTTATGTTTGCAAATACAAATATATTGTTCTACTTTTTAACTCCTTAATTATACCCATACTAATTTACTTCACTAACATCCACTAATTAAAGCCTCAACTTTCTCGTATCATAATTTTGATTAAGGAAATACAATGTAAAATTCAACTGCACCAATAATAAGCAGAAATCCCACCAGACGCCCAGATTCATCCCATAACAATAGTCTATGGACAGTAGACTGGGAACCTAATATACCAACAAATGTCAGAACCTTCTAATACAGGAGGCATCTGAGGACGGCCCAGGACACATATGATGAGTCACTCAATAAAACACAACATCACAGTAAAACATAGCAGCTGGTGTACCGTACAGTACATGACCGACCGAGTGATCCATTCTTCCCCTACATACAGGTACATAATAGATGTGACAACCTTGTCCTCCTCCCCCGAATTACTTTATCCTCCTCCTCTTGTCCTTCGCTTCTATGGAAGAGAAGGAAAGAAGATATGAAGCTGTCAACCCTTGGTCATGCCACAGCGCTCAAATGTCACCTGAACGGTTATTATAGTCACATCTGTCCAGAGAGGGAAATTTTACAGCTCTCTCTCTCTCTCTCTCTCTTCATATATATATATATATATATATATATATATATATATATATATATATATATATATATATATATATATATATATATATATATATATATATATATATATGTATATATATATATAATATATGTGTGTGTGTGTGTGTGTGTGTGTTTGTATTATATTTTCATATATTATATGTATATTATAAAGTTAGAAGTGTGTAAGGACATAAGGTGAAGGATGACGCCACATTTTTCAATAACGTTGGCCTCGCCCTCGTCTCCCTCACTTGAGAAACTCATGACCCAAAAAATAGCTCTCATTAGCGCCTCAACTCTCTAGTTTATGCGCGGGTGAGCACACAAGTTTGGCCAGTTGTGTGGCATCATTATATTTTTATCTTGCCACTGAGGATGACGTAGTGGGTCATCACCATCTGCTAAACTGCCATCATGGTAGAAATAATTTATATACTTTAGTATCTTCAGCACAAGAACACTTAGAAAATAGTTTTACTGTGGCTTCACTATGTTCGTGTGTGTGTGTGTGTGTGTGTGTGTGTGTGTGTGTGTGTGTGTGTGTGTGTGTGTGTGTGTGTGTGTGTATGTGTGTGTGTGTGTGTGTGTGTCGTTACATAACAGTTATCGTTTTTTTACAAAGAAATATAAATCAAATTGATATGATATTTACCCTTCGTTTAATCTTTGTGGATATTAATCTGAACAGAATTATCATTGATGCGTTCACACTTACATCATAATCAAATAACTCTTCAGCAGTGTTTAACAATACGGAGAAAATCTTTGCTGAGCCAACAGTAAGTATACCGTGAAATGGTTAAAGGCACTGAACTAAATACCAGGACGAAGGTAAGGATGAATCATGAGAAGCTTGGCGGTTCTTCTGTACAGGTGAGTGAGGAGGCCGAGACACCCAATCTCACATTATTTGTTTATGGGAACCTTCACCTGTGGAATATTAATGGTGAGTGGACAGATGGGTACCAGACCATGCATGTCGCGGTATTGACAATTTTATCTCCAGCTAGATCCATTATTTATATTTACCACACAGGTTGCTGGGCCTATTTTAACCTCTGTCTAGGACCGGTGTCACCTTGATGTTGGTCATACACACAGAGAACTGCCTGATTATGGACTTTGTTTTTCAATTTCTTTTCGCAAAAGAACAGTCAGTTATCAAATGTATACTTTTTGGTTATTAAGAAGTAAAATAAATTCAGGGTAGCGAAGGTTTGCGAATTAAGAAAGTTTCTTGTGCCACAGAATAAAATCACTATCGTGATCGCTTTAAGATTCGCTGTTGTGACAAGGGTCAATACAAACAATAGACATCGTTCATATGTATAGAAACCTCCTTTCATACTTTAAATAAAAACTGTCTCACGAGAGGAATGCACGAAGCACTAATGGCTGGGAATGCAACAATTCTGAATGGCTCTGACACTTAATTTGCAGTACAAACTTGCTAGCGGTTAGACCCTGGACTCTAATGCTAATTCCTTCCGCGGCTCTGTGACCCTCATCTAAATGATAATGACCGCTTAATTGTAATGGCAACAGTTCTTTCTCTCTGAGTTGTGTACAATCATTACTTGGGCTGGGTCGCCAGCATAGTGTGTACTTATTTTTGGTGTGTGTGTGTGTGTGTGTGTGTGTGTGTGTGTGTGTGTGTGTGTGCGTGCGTGTACATTAGGGTTGCTCATTTTTTCGCACTTTTTTAAAATTGTGGGTGGGGGTGTTTTTTCCCATTATTTTGTTACTCCTGAATTCATTGGTGCCAGAATTAATGAAATCCAACATGTTCTAGGAGTCGCGAATCCAAATATAAAAAATGAATTTTTGCGAAAAAACGTCAAAACTCAAGCTTTTTCTCTTATAGATCAGCAATCGCGCTGCTTTTCACTACTTAACCCTAATGGCTGGCTAGAGCAGCTATTCAGCTTTCCATTGACACCTAATTCGATTGCATGCACCTCTTATTTGACCTTCTAAGTCAGGTCAAAGGCTGTAGCCTACCTGCGTTAACGGAGTTATATATTCACTAGGTTCACATTGGCAGCTTTAAAACCCTGCGCTTCTTTGCAGTGTTTTGACATGTGTTGTGTTGTTGTTGGTACTGTGGTGTTATTTTATAATTTACTCAAATCTGCTATATAGTGTGGCAGTAAATTTATGGTTATCTATTTATGTTGTATTTTCTACAGGTGATTAAATTGCTCTTATGTGACCCTATTTTGTTTGCCTATTTTGTTTTATTACAAAACGTTTTTTTCTTACAGAGTTCATCTGTTTATATACATACAATCATGGAAGAGAGTGAGTCGCAGTCGGGGGAGAATGCTAAGGGGACTGTCAGGCCAACATCATCCACTACCCGTTCTGCCACTGAAATCTATCTAGTAGGCCAGCCAGCATCGTCAATTAGAGGCAGTAAACTCCCGACGATGCGTCAAGTCCTGAAGTTCTTCTTTCACACAGTGAATGAATCTGGTGACAGACAGGAGACGTTTAAAGAAACAGTGAGAAACGTACTCACGTTCTGGAATTTAGCTCGCATCAAGACTATCTCAGAGAGGGGGTGCCGGGAGAAGCTGACAAGGTTATGGGAGCACTGGAGAAGTCTACAAAAAAGTCGGGACAGGGCTGCAACGGACAAGGTTGAAAACTTCAAGTCTCAACTTGACCTGTTGTGGGACATCGGAGCACCGGACGCCGTAGAGGACATCGAGAAGAACCGGCTGCTTACACCGGCCGACAAACAACAAGACATCGCCTTCTATCAAGACCAACGCGGAGAAAGAAAAGCGTTCATGAGTGGTAACGATAAGATTTTTGCCGCTAAGAAGAGAAA